GGTCATGACTCTTGGTGCGAAGCCTCATAATTTACACTTCACAATGACAGACCATGTAAAAACTGTCAGTGCTAAGTGGTTTTCTATGTGGAAAAAGAGAATTTGATTTCTCAAGCGTAATCACAAAAGGTTTAAAGATTCTATTTGTAAGTTTTGCTATTGCTACAAAGCAAATATTAGCATTAACAGCTGTGTCACAGTGATATGAAATGCATTAATTTGAGCAACATTGGTCTCCTCATCAGTCAAGCATTAAAACTATTTTACAGGTCTGTTACATATTGTGAATACTCCTTCAGTTCACACTGAGAAATCTTGAGTGTTTGTTCATTCATCACAAACAGCCGATACACTGACAACACAGAGGTTTGCTATAGTAAGCTAACAACATCAGGGTTAGATGTTGGGATGGTGGGAAGATGTTTTCAGTTGGGGGTGCTGTAGTGGGAGGAGCATTTTACCCCAACCCATACAAATACAACATAGGTCTACAATAATATGGGTACACACACAGACACACACACACACACACACACACACCAAAAAAGCAGCAGCAGTAACAACAGCAGCAAGGTCTATGAAAAAGGATTCAGTAATACTATTGCAAAATAATAGCTCACAATAATGCCATAATATTGCAATACACGTGTCCAAAAGCCCATTGCGCACACCACACAAGAACCTATTCAAATACGCAACAAAGGTAAATGAATGTGATGTTAAAAGTAACGGCAGTCTCTGGCGGCAGCAAACGATAAGGATGCTGGTGGAGCTGCTCTCCTGCGAAGGCTGGACTTAATCTGTGCTCTCTTTAGCCGGAGTTGGCCAAAAAAATCTGCGATACGCTTTTCCTCCATTATGGTTTTATCCTTCGATTAGCTGCCTCTGATTGGTTAATGACCGTTGTCTTCGCTGGTTGGCTTGGTTAGGTTTAGACATGAGGAGCGAGGATGGTAAGGGTCAAGGTAAGAAGTCATTCTGAGGCAGAGTAGAACTGGCCATGTAATCACCAAGCAGCAACCTCTGAGGCTGAAAAATGAAGCCAACACAGAAGTACCAAAAACTTCACTTCATTTAAATGAGTGCGTGCCGCTTTGAGTGACAGGCATGAGGGGCGAGGAGGGCTCTTTGCCCATTTTTGTATTAGCTGGGCGTTGGGCGGAGTCAGGTACAGGCAAGATGGCGACGACAAAACCACTCTTCAGAAACCTATGGGTGACGTCACGAAGACTACGTCCATCTTTATTTACAGGCCATGGTCAACACTTTAAGAACATTATGCTCTCGCCACTAGGGGTGCACCCCTAGTTCCCGCGGCCATGAACAGCATGCAGCAATTTTGTTCAAGTGTGTGGGCATCTTTATTGTGACAGCTCAGGGTTGGATGATTTCAAACACTGACCATGAACTCTAGTTGTTTCTTACTCCTCTACTTTGACCTCCTGTCACTCTTCTCTTTTTAGGTGTTTTGACAGCAGAGATGTGAGAGGTAACGTTATGCAACTAAAGTACGTGGCCAGACACAATGTGGTTCATGGTTCATGGCACCTTAGACCCCTAAGCCACCATGGCACCCCCTCTCACCCACCCCTGTACACGGGGGATAAGTGTGAATTTTAGTTCAAGCTGAAATGTGTTCAACTTGTAAGGGTATCTCAATTTCTGGGCAAAGTGCACCTGTTTGCTCGTTTCCATTGACTTTGTGCACATTCATACAGCCTCTAAAACTTCATGCTTTCTCTTTTAACAACCCCTGAGACAAGCAGACTTTTCTTTTTCTTTTTTTAAAGAAACAGGCCTAATTAAATCATTTTGATTCTACCCCTTACGGTTGTGTTCTGTTTGTGCAGGCAGGTGAGGTGCTGTGAATTTTATGTTTATAGTCACTGAAGGAAATATATCCAATATGATGTGACTGCAGGGTTAACAAACATCTGTGGAGGCTGTGAAGGTGTTGCCTCTGTGAAACATAATGTTCATCCTCACCATGGCAACAGGACAAAGCCACTTCACTTCACTTCACAGGTACATAAATATGGTAGCAGCACATCAGAGGAATAGTGATGATGTTATGAAGTGTGTTAATTTTACTTTTCAAACAAAACCAGCATTAACAGCTTCCCTCCCCTCATAGCATGTAGTAAAGTGTCTTTGTAGGAGTGAGTGGAAATGAGTTCAGGAGTTCATTCATTCATTAGGCCTCAGCATAAGAGGAAATCATCTATCTGATTTATGCCACCAGAGTTATTTTATCCTTAGTTTGTGCACAAAGCTATTAAATCTCTCTTTAAAAAAATAGTTTCAGACTCTTTAGAGTGTGTCTTAAAACAATATTTGTATTACTTGTATATAATATGTACACTTAGAGCATTATTGCTTATTGACCATACTGGCTCTGAAGACTAAAAATACTGAGGTCTCCACGGTGTTTCAGGTTTGTTTTAAGTTCAGGTATTTTCCAAGTTTTATTTAAATTTCCCCTAAATTTGAAAAATAAAAAACTCAACACAATTACCTAAACTCTGACTGAAATCCACTGAAAATATATATAATATATGCATTTTATCATTTTAATATTTGAACTTCGAAATTTGATCCTCTATGTTTTCTAATTTTATTTTTTACTTTTTACTCCCATTTGACCCCCATTTCACTGCACTCATTAAAATTATTAATTATAATTAAAACTTTTCCTTTATTTAGTACTATAGTTTTGTTAGGAGACTTCCTAGAAAACTATGGTCCTCTAAAGGGTTACCATTTATCTCTCAGCATGAATGTCTAAATGTTGTTTAAAAAGCCTCTCCACACACTCCAAACACTGTACGTTCTGTAGGTTGTAAGCTCCCCCAAGGTTGTTAAAACTCCCAAATTCCCAGAAACATTACAGACATGGCCTCATGTTTTCTAAAACGTAACTGCAGCCGTGCCCTTTCCATAAGTGACTATAACACAAGAGACAAGGGGACAAATGGACAGTGTAAAAATGCATCCTGAAGCATCAGCTAAAGGTTATATAAGCCCACAGCTGTCTGACTTAGACAAATGAAGTGTATCTTCCAAATCCACAGTCTATTTAGTGTGCAATCCACTCTTGTATTAGGATAGATGTTGAAAAAACAAACTTACCCTTGAAATGTCATCATCCATCTGTAGCCTGCTCATGTTAACAGTGACTGTAACACTTCATAGTGCAATCCTGCTCCGTCTCGCACCAATGAATCATATACCTATCAGCACAAAACACAGCCAAGCTGGGGAGTTGACCGTATGTGTGGGCATACGTTGAAGGAAAACATTTTGGCCACAGAAGTAAATCTACATGTTAAAATATCAAACTCAGAACTGAAAGACAATATTGGTTTAAAGTAAAAAACCAAACAGCATAAATAATGTCACTATGAACTAAAAGAATCCCTGGTGTTTGAAGAAGTCTCTGTGCTCTTACAGAGATAAAATTCTCTCTCTTTATGAGCAACAAGAAAGCTCTCTATTCTCTCACTTATATAATTAACTGACTTTTTTGTTATTGTGTGGGTTTTCCGTGATTAAAGCAACTGTAAAAACAAACTTTCAGTGATGACTTTGAGCACTAGTAATGCTCATGTTGAACAGTTTTGCTCCAAACAGGCCTCCAGCATGTTTAGTAAATGATCTTTGCCCATTTTCTGCTTCTGTGAAACTGTAATGAGACAAGCAGGGACATTATCTTGATTAAAATCAATCCCTATTGGATTACACTGTGCTACGTTCCCCCGCTCGGCTTCACTCATTAGAGCACAGCACAGAAAACAGAAATCAGAAGTGAGGAGACTCCTCAAAGTGTTATGTGTACATGCATGGATGGCTTGACAGATAATCCCTGGACTCCTCCTCATCAACATTACTATGTGGCTACTTGCTGCTGTTTTATAATCCAACAGGCACTGTTGGTTGTTTTACTGAATATGTGAAAATGATAGATACAGTATTACGTCTCAGGAGATTGTCACTTATGGACCTGTCACTATTGATCTGAAGTCTATGCAAGGAAGGGAAAAGGGGGTAAGAAAGGAAAGACAAAAAGATTGATGGAAGTATAGAAAAGGAAGAAGGAAGGAAGGAAGGAAGGAAGGAAGGAAGGAAGGAAGGAAGGAAGGAAGGAAGGAAGGAAAAGGGAAGAAAATGTGGATGGAAAAGAGAAAGGGATGAAAACGGATTAGGAAGGTTATTAAAGATGGGAAGGACAGAAGGGAGGATGGAAGAAAAAGAAGGGGGAAGAGAAAATAAAGTGGGCTAAAGAAGAAAGAAGGGAATGAACTAAGATGTGAGGGTGTGGAGGTACAAGAAAGAAAGGAGAAAGGAAGAAAAAGAGGAAAGGAACAAGGAAATAGGATGGGAGGCAAGAAGAGAAAGGAAGGAAAGAAGAAATTAATTAATAAAGGTGCGCAAAAGCAATGTAAGATAGGAAAAAGAGAGGTTGAAGGGAAAGAAGGAAAAAAGGAAAAGGAAGAAAAGGAGAAAGATTGGAGAAAGAGTGCGTAAATTCAGGAAAGAAGTAAACAAGAAGTGGGAAGAGAAAGGAGGGTAGGAAGCAAGGAAGGAAGGAAGATGGATGGTGGGAAAGAAAGGAAGGGCAGAATTAAAGACGAAAAGGACCAAGTAAGGAAGAAAAGGAAGAAAGGGGGAAAGAGAAAGGGAAGGGAAGAAGGAAGAAATGGACAAATATGAGAGGGGAGGACGTAAAAGAGAGAAGAAGGAAGGAACCTAGGTAGGAAGGAAGAAAGGGAGCGAAGTAATTCATTTTCACACCGTCGCTTCTGTCCCGTGCAGGCTCGTTGTGCCGCGCTACGGTCATCAGTAAAGTCTCGCGCAGGCTGGCGTTAACCCTCCCTTCATCACACGCTGCCACATTCTTCAACACGGCCACATTTGACGTTACCGGCGGTTCGTCCCGCGCCTGAAACGAAGCGCTTCTCCAAGCAAACGACGAACAAGCACCCAGCGGGACATCACAGGCACCGAGTCCGCGGACAGGCACCTGTGGGGAGGCGAAAAAACGCGCTCAACTCCTACCGCAACCACAGAGCAAGGACCATGGAGAGCGCAGGCAACGGCTCGGACGCGGATTACCGGAGCCAGCTCCCCGTGCTTTACAACAACAACAACAACAGCAGCAGCAGCTTCTGTCGGAACTTCACCGATGCCAACAGCACCGCGAGCTTCGCGGAGGTGAGATGCGACGGGGAGCGCGGACTGATCGGCAGCCTGGACAACGACGCCAACCCGGTTATCATAGCGATTGTTATCACCGCTCTCTACTCCATAGTGTGCGTGGTGGGGCTGGTTGGAAACGTGCTGGTCATGTATATCATTGTCAGGTAAGAGAACAAAGTACTCCCCCAAAAAACACTGATGAGTGTGGTTGTGATTTATCAGCTGTGTAATTAGGCCTTTTACATTTTATAAATATCCTTTTCTAACATGACTGTGAGTGAGAAAGGACTCATAACCTGTTGCTGTGTTAACCATGTTGGACATAAAGGGTGTGTGTGTGTGATAGAGAGAGAGAGAGAGAGAGAGTGAGTGTGTGTGCGTGGTGTGTTTACGAGGCCGAGTGAGACCATGTGAATGCAGTGTTGACAGCGCTCCCAGCTCAGCTGCCGTTTGTGCGTAAAAATGCCTCCAACATCGCAAGTTGCTCCAGCGCGCAAAATAAATAAATAAATAAAAATAAAAAACACTGAGCGAGGGGCCGGAGAAGACAGAAAGGCTGCTGAACAAAAACATGCTTCCTATTTTATACTGACAATATCATTAACAGAGGAATAATGTATAATTAAGGCCCAAGCATACCCTTGCTCGCTCTCTCTCTCTCTGTCTTCCATCCACTGAGCCAGAGTTAAACAGGTAAATGGCACTGTTGTGACAAGATGCGGCATATAACTCTAACGATGCAGCATGGAGCCAAAGATGCTGCTGTCTTCATATGCACTGCAGATTCACTCCTCTATTCCCTTGTATATGGCTGTGCTTGTTCCAACTCTCATGTAAATTAGATGAGTGACCTTAAACAGTTTTATAAGTGCTCTTAAAACACGCAATCTGCACACAGAAAGTGAGCCCAATAGACTCAGCTTCGGCATCACTTGTTTTATATCTAAAACTCATGGGAACAGCATAAAAGACTTACACTATAGATGCTCCAATATGTGCCTTCCACTGCTCCCTCATCTAGGCCACTTTCATGCCGAATCTGTTCGCTCAGCTAACACGTCGACATCTCATTAGTCAACATTTCAAACTTTGTTTGAAACAAATGTCACACTCTCAAGATCTCATCACTGCAAGAGCTTTCATTCCCTTTAATCACCTGTCACGAAAAGAAAGAATTAGTAGTACATGATGAGTGGTGCACAAATGAAAGATTTCAAGCCCACTTGCTCCTCCTACGGTAAAGGTGAGACTTCTGATCTTGCACTCATTTCACACACTAAAGACACTTTGAGACACCAGTTCACTAAGGACTCTTTAGGGGCAAATAACTTTAGTATTAAAAAGGTCTCATACAAGCTGAGTATTTCTCATTTTCATCACCATCATCAGTACTGACTTCAACAAAACTGACACTCAAGAATGGAATCAGTTAGAATATAAATCGATTTATGTGTTAACTTAAAAGATAATTAAACTGAAAATAACAAGTTGTGCTGATGATATCAGCCCTCTGAGGTGGATTCCACTGTGAGGCAGCAGGATTTCATTTGTGGCCTTTAATTACACATGAAAATCTGACATTCATGTTGGTTAAATGCTCCCCGGCTGATGCTACGTCCTCCCAAATTAGGCTCTTTCAGGTAATTAAAGGCATGAGATTGGAGAAGATAAGGAGAGATAGATAGAGAGAGAGAGTGGAGAAGGGAAATGAGGACAGGACAGGTGAGAGATGGACTTGAAAAAGAGCTGGACGTGAGAGGAAGGTTGAGGTGAGAAAGATTGATGGTGAGCAATGAGAAAGTTAAGAAGTGAGAAAAATGGAGATAAAGGTGAAGGTGGTCCATCTTCTTTTTCCACCTAGTGATTATCCACTTCATTGGTGTGATGGAGTCAGTGAAGAGTGGGCAAGTGGAGGGTTTGCTGTGCTGAGCTTGTCAGACAGGTGCACCACATTCACTTTCTTTTTAGAGAAATTAAAGTGTAAAATAAGGTTGGAGACTTCTCTATTTTGATGTACTTCTCTCTTAACACTGTAATATATGATATCATTATTGGAACACCTATCACCACTCACTTCTCCACTGTTTCCAGGGCAGATGAAGTATCAAGCAAATGCTCATTTGCAAAACATGCATCATCCTCTTCAGACTGAGTGCTTCCCAAAGCTAGTTCTGTTCTGCTTAAGAACGGACACATCTTTACAGGATGTTTTCTGCATCTCTGTCGGATGTTTTCTACCCCAAATTACTTTGGGCCCCTGGCTATTCCACAGCACCAAAATGAAGTGGAAAAAGAAGGGTGAGCACTGGGCAGATGGGGGTTACATCGCCTTTTGAGATATAAGTTAGGAACCAGCATCGTTTTGATAAGGGGATCTATTTCTGGCAGTGGTGCAGTGGTGTTTTTGATGTATGAGTATAGAGGCTTGTATCATGTATTCTAAAGTAGTTTGTCTACAAAGCAGATAATAGATGGTGAAGGGCATTACTTGAGCTTTAGCTCTCTCATCCTTGGCTGTAGTGTGAGAAGAGATTTAGGATGACCCACCCGTCCTCCTGCCCTCTCTCCACGGTAAGGAAATGGGCCTCAGCCCTGACACTAATAGACAACCATGCATGTGTGCAAGTCGTGAGTGTGTTTGTGGCTGAGAAAAGTTTTGCAGATTTCTGAAACTTTTTGAGCTGGATTAATGAGACTTTACAGGAATTAGGAGGAAGGTAAAGGAGTATCTCATTCCTCCGAGAACCACAATCCATCAGGGTCATTAACATTCATCAGCGTTTTTGTCTTTCTCTCTATCTCTGCCTGTCTCTTGTTCAGTCTCTGGCAGCGGATTGAGAGTGAACAGCCATTTAGCTAATGACACAGTGGATATTTACTTGTAAATGGAAATGTAGTCTTGAACTCTCAGTCCCCACTTTACAGTCATGGCCTTGAATGCAATTTTGCTAGATTAAATAGAGACAGTCGTAGATGAAGGATGTTTTCCCCCCTCACTGTCTGAGTAATGATAACCTTAAAGCCATAAACCGTTTCTCTCTCCCTCTTTATCTCTCCGTCCGTTTGCTCTCTCTTTGCCCCTCGTCTGTTCCCTCCACACTTACATCCGCAAACTTCTCGTGAGCAAACAAACACAACCAGAGATCTGCACGCTCAATCGGAAAAATCAATTGCGGTTGAACAGAAACCACTGGGTTCCACAAGGAATACGCCATCAGAACAGAGTGCTTGCTGTTACCATGGAAACACCGGGAGATGTGATGAGTGCAAAAATTACTCCACCTCCTCTCCAAGCCCCTGCCTCCATCCCCCATCCAGCTAGAAGAGCTGTTGTAGCTGGTTGGTCACATTCAGCAGCCAAGCGTTTCTCAAACTTTGGATGCTTTTGTTTAAGAGGCCATTGAACATCTGCACCAGTTAACCTGGAAGCACTAAACTGCTGTTACATTATACAGCATGCAGCACAACAAATGCGGCTTAGGATAATTCTGTTGCTTCTTAACAAAAGGCGAATTTTCTGTGACCCTGTTGTCTAATGTCAAAGTAGGTTCTGAACATCTGTGTCACAGCTGTTTATGTGAGAGTGTGAACCCAATCACATGACATATGCTGTTATGACGAGAGTCACAGGACTAATTCCCAGATCATCACTGATGTTTCTCTATAATGGGTTTCTAGTAGCTCCTGCTGCCTGACATGACAAATAGTGGGCTGAGTTTCAAACAATCTACCTGCAGACTTTTGATTCACTGATGCACTGACACCTGGCAGTCAGGTTAATACTCAGCAGAAAACCACACAGCATTAAAGCTTCTTAGAGAATCATTTCTGGTGCTCAAACAGGTAAGAGGTATCTGTGAATTACGTTCACATTCTTTAAGTCTTCAAGGCCATATGTACATTGAAAGGCTCATTGGTTGCTGGGCCTGTTTCTCCTGTGAATAACAGCTGCTGAAAACAAGTGAGCGATGGCGGACAAAATCCACAGACCTCATTTCGTGCGTTGAATTATTTCTACAGTTTAACCGATGTTACCGTGACGCTTCAACGAACAATTCAAGTGGGTGCCTTCTGTCAGTCAGAAAACACTGTCCAGGCAAGCACAAAGAGTGAACTGGATACTATAAAGACCATAACTTTGGAACATGACCACCTGATTTGTCTAATTCAAACCATGCAAGTGTCTTATTAGCCACAGCTGAACTGCACAATTTTCTTTACATGGAACAAGGACTGCAGGTTTTGTCCCCCGTTTCTTACGATGGGAACACTTAGGAAGGGAATTTTTTAAGGCCAGTATAGACAGGACCTCTCTGTGAACTTCATGTAAGGCTCAATGTTAGATACATATACGGATACAGATGGAGACTTCTGTCCATGTTTTCTGAGAGGATACGGGCGAACCAGAGCAGTATGACCAGAAACCGTGGGAGCAGTGTAGCCAACAGTTCAAGCGAAACACAACCTTAGGACGTGACGAAGAAATTTTAAAAATGGCGGAACATTTTGAGCCGTGGTCATTCTACTGTCAGTGTAGAAATGCATTTAACTGCATCACAGACCACCACCGACTACAACGCTGCCTGTGCTTTTGCCTCTCACCATCGCCATGTTTGTTGTTGTCAGAAACTTTTGACACCAAGCTGCCCTCTAGTGGATGTATTGCTGAACACAACATGCCAACGTCACGGTCACATGGAAGTGTCGTAAGCTGTGATGGTTTCATCGTTTGAAGTATCTATTTTCGTACATAGGGAGCAGGGAGCATGAATAAGGCCGACTGACTATAACTATCAACTACAATTATAAATGAGTGAGTTGTGTGGGATGAAAGAGAATGGCTCCCCTCTCATTAACACAAATTAGTCACTGGGCGTACATAGTATTTTTTAACCAAGTAAAAAATACATACAAATCAGCCCTCAGGATCAGTTATTTAATTTCAAATCCTCTCTTTGATGACTGTGAACAGGACCTGGTTACCTCGTGTGTCTAGAAACCTTTTACGTGTATTCATGAACATCCTCATGCATGATAGATGTAAGTTCTGCTCGTGTGGTTTTTCCCACGTGGAGGCCGATACAGCGTAGGAGCGTCCGGCATATGGATTGCTTCAGGTCGTCACAGGAGAGGTATGAAGGTAAACCGACTGAACCAACAGCAG